GCCGTGTGATGCCGGCTTAGAATAGCATCACCCCAATTCTACTCGTGGGTGTCGTAAAAAGCGACTATGGGATAATTATCCAGGGAATGGGCTGCAGCGTTCCCTGTGAATTAAATATCTTGCACTGCGCTCGCCAATTCGCCTGCCAAGCGTGGTGAGTATGGCAATACCCCCTTCTTCTTCTTCTTTTTCGTGTGGGACACCGAGTCGTTCAACGACCCGATGAACCCTGGTGTCAGAGTTTTTCAACCGCCTACTGTAAGTAGCAGGCCTCTGACATGGTTGTGTAACGACCGCCATCATAGACAGCAACCGGGACCGACTTCTTAACGTGCCCATGCGAAGCACGGAACCATCTTACTTGCGGACAATCAGGTGGTTCAGCCTGCAATGTCCTAACCAGACTGGGAACAATTTCACAAAGTGATAAATATCCACTATGTGAGTGAGCCCACCGGGAATTGAACCCGGAACCTTCTGCGTGGCAGGCAGTCATACTAACCACTGCGCCACATCGGCTGTCCCCCCGGTACGGGGGAGTCCCATGTCCAGCAGTGGACTGTTGTGGCTGTAAAGGTAAAGGTTAATAATAATTATTTTTATACTACACCTGCATAGTAATTTACCTATAGCTTTACACTTTATAGGGGGGAACGTTGGTCATTGTTCAACGTACAAATTAGCGGGAGTGAATTAACCATACAAATCACTTTCCTCCCGTGGTAGTTTTTACAGAATTTAGTACAGTTGATAGGGTAGGTGAACACAAGTTCATCAGTTTTAAAGTTGTCATTAAAAGGTTGTCCAGTTTTATAAGTTGTACAGTTTTTAAAGTTGTTCAGTTTCAAAAGTTGTTCAGTCACAAAAGTTGTTCCGTTTTGAATAGATGTTCAGTTTTAAAAGTTGTTCAGTATTAAAAAGTTGTTGAGTTTCATAAGTTGTTTAGTTTTGTAAGTTGTTCAGTTGTGTAAGTTGTTCAGTTTTGCAAGTTGTTCAGTTTTGTAAGTTGTTCAGTTTTGTAAGTTGTTTAGTTTTGTAAGTTGTTCAGTTTTGTAAGTTGTTCAGTTTTGTAAGTTGTTCAGTTTTGTAAGTTGTTCAGTTTTGTAAGTTGTTCAGTTTTGTAAGTTGCTCAGTTTTGTAGTTGTTCAGTTTTGTAAGTTGTTCAGTTTTGTAAGTTGTTCAGTTTTGTAAGTTGTTCAGTTTTGTAAGTTGTTCAGTTTTAAGAGTTGTTTAGTTGTAAAAGTTGTTCATTATAAAAAAATGTTCAGTTTTAAAATACTTATGTTCATTATAGAAGTTGTTCAGTTTTGAAAGATATTCATTTTTAAAGTTATTGAATTTAAATATTGCGCTGCCGTATGCATGTGCGAGTTTGGAAATGTGTACCTGTGTAGTTTATTATTTGCGGATGTTTCAATTCACCCCGTGGCTGTTACAACTGACCCCGCAGGTGTAGTATAAAGCACTATGTATTACTCGGATGAAAGTCCGACTACTAACTCGTGTGTATTGAGGCCCTCAGCTGCGCTTCGGGCCTCAAACTACACCCTCGTTAGTAATCGGTTTCTTTCTCCCCGCGTATACAATGTACTATTTTCTCTATTACAGCGTGGCGTGGGAAGCGAAAGTGTTAACACGTGCGTGGTGGGTGCACGCACACCAAGTGTCAAAATCAGCTCCGACCGGAGAATATTTGACAACCGGTTCTTTTATGATCAGAGGGAAGAAGAACTACCTAGTGCCAGAGCATCTGCAGTTCGGGTTCAGTTTTCTATTTAGGGTATGTAAACCAAAAAGTAACCTCCATTTTAAACCTACGTAACCTAGATAACTGTCATTATCCGCACTAGGAGAACTGTCATCAAAATAAAAATAACCAAATTTAACAGCTGCCAATTCGGCCTTCTTGAATGGGGTTAAGAATAAGGTGACAAAATATGGAGCCAATTTGGAAGCTATCATAGTAAAATAAACTATGAAATTAAAGAATAATCATAATGACTTTTAAGTTGACTAGGGATTTGTGTCAAATTAGGCTTATTAGATTAGTTGGGCTATATGTCAAATCGGGCCTCTTAGTAAGCTGAAGTGCGCGAAGTGTCAAAATCAGCTCCGACCGGAGAATATTTGACAACCGGCTCCTTCATGATCAGAGGGAAGAAGAACTACCTAGTGCCGGAGCATCTGCAGTTCGGATTCAGTTTTCTATTCAGAGTAAGTAAATTAAGAAGTAAACTCAATTTTAACCTAACCTAAGACAGCTGTCATATCGACATTAGAAAAACTGTCATCAAAATAAAATAAACCCAATTTAACAGCTGCCAATTTGGGCTTCTTAAATGGAGTTAAGGATATAATGATAAAATATGAAGGAAATTTTATTGTGCCAATTTACAACTCTGTAGCTATAACTTGCGCAAATAATGAATGGATCCCGCATTGGCAATATTGTATTTTGCCTCTCTATCATATTATAATATGACATAAGCAGGATGTTTACAAAACTTTGCCAATTTGGGTCCATTCTTTATCTGCGCAAGTTGTTTCATGGTAAAATAAACAATGAATTTAAAGAATAGCCACATCTCTAAGAGTCACATAGACTTTTAAATTGACTAGAAGCTTCAGGCTTATTAGTCAGGCTTATTATATTAGATTGGTTGGGCTATATGTCAAATTCGGACTATGAAATAGGGTTGGCCTTAGTAAGCTAAAGTGCTGAGTAAATGTCAAAATCAGCTCCGACCGGAGAATATTTGACAACCGGCTCCTTCATTATCAGAGGGAAGAAGAACTACCTAGTGCCGGAGCATCTGCAGTTCGGATTCAGTTTTCTATTCAGGGTAAGTGAACTTATTGTTACTTTTATAGGCCTAAGTCAGCTGTCAGCTGTCTAAACGATAAAAGACGAGCTGTAATCAAAGGAAATTGACATAGTGCCATAGCGCTTGAATTTGACAGCTGTTAAATCAAGCTTCTTAAACACGGTAGAAGCTAGTAGAAGAAAGGGTTGGTTCAACATGGTTCAAACATTAAACCAATTCAATGTGCTGAATTGACAGTTATCATCGTGAAAGATGAACCTTATTACTATAAAGTTAAAGAAATGCCAAGTCTTAAAAAACTTGTGTCAAATCGGGTTTATTAAATTGACTGGGGTTTCTGTCAAATTCATCCTATTACATTGTGTCAAATACAATCTTATATAAGTGTCAAATCGGGTTTATTAAATTGACTGGGGTTTCTGTCGAATTTTCTCTATTACATTGTGTCAAATAGTCTTATATGAGTGTCAAATCGGGTGTATTGAATTGACTGTGGTTTCTGTCAAATTGGTTCTATAAAGTGAGCTAAAGTACTAACCCGCGCGTGGTGGGTGCACGCGCACCAAGTGTCAAAATCAGCTCCGACCGGAGAATATTTGACAACCGGCTCCTTCATGATCAGAGGGAAGAAGAACTACCTAGTGCCAGAGCATCTGCAGTTCGGATTCAGTTTTCTATTCAGGGTAAGTGAACCAAAAAGAAACCTCAATTTTAAACCTACGTAACCTAGATAACTGTCATTATCCACACTAGGAGAACTGTCATCAAAATAAAAATAACCAAATTCAACAGCTGCCAATTTGGCCTTCTTGAAGGTGACAAATATGGAGCCAATTTGGAAGCTATCATAGTACAATAAACTATGAAATTAAAGAATAGTCATAATGACTTTTAAGTTTAATAGGGATTTGTGTCAAATCAAGCTATATGTCAAATCGGGCCTCTTAGTAAGCTGAAGTGCACGAAGTGTCAAAATCAGCTCCGACCGGAGAATATTTGACAACCGGCTCCTTCATGATCAGAGGGAAGAAGAACTACCTAGTGCCGGAGCATCTGCAGTTCGGATTCAGTTTTCTATTCAGGGTAAGGAAAACAAAAAATAACCTCAATTTTGACATAACCTACATTACCTAAGACAACTGTCATATCAACAATGGAAAACCTATCATCAAAAGAAAAAAGATCTAATTTAACAGCTGCTAATTTGGGATTCTTAAATAGGGTTAAGGATATAGTGACAAAATATGGAGCCAATTTGGAAGCTATAACCTCGTAAGGCCCAGACATTTATGAGCTTTCTTTAGATAAAGGCCCAGATGCCTTTTAAAAGGTATGATTCTACAAAGTGAATTGAACCTTATATGCACAAGCAATAAGGTTGCTTTATGATGTAAATTTTGCAAGGGCTTGGATCAGGCTTATTAGATTAGTTGGGCTATATATCAAATCGGGCCTCTTACTAAGCTAAAGTGCACGAAGTGTCAAAATCAGCTCCGACCGGAGAATATTTGACAACCGGCTCCTTCATGATCAGAGGGAAGAAGAACTACCTAGTGCCAGAGCATCTGCAGTTCGGATTCAGTTTCTATTTAGGGTAAGCTAATTTTTAGTCGGATAAATACAAGACGAGCTACTATAAAAGGAAAATGGACTTTATGTCATAGCATTACTATGAATTTAGCCATCCATCTTGCCTTGCTGAGTCGCCGAGTCCGCCAAGCCCATTCGCACTATCTGCATTGGGTTGCCATTCTAGCCGATACAGACTTTGTTTGTTAAGCAGGAGGGAGCTGCTTTTGTTGGATCTAGGAGAGATGGGAAAGTAGGAATAGGAGTGGGTTGGAATTTGGTGAGATTGGGACAGGAACACAGGTAGTGGGATACTACTGACCGGAAGGTACGCAAAGACAGTAGAAGCTCGGGAAACCGAGGTCGCGTACCCGTATATCACATCTCAGCTTTCATGGGTACCCCAGACTACAAGCCTGTAATATGAGTGATTTGATTAGATTACTCGTCTCGTTCATCAGAATAGAATCAAATTTCTACGGATTCAAAAATACTTCTTCTGGACTGTAAAAAACATCCACAACCAAAAATGATTTACACGAAATTATAACGTGGGTCAGATTACAACTACTTACATTAGATAATGAGAAAATTGAAAAATTCTCTAGCGACCGCCGGGACTTGAACCCGAGACTGGATTGCCGTTTCACCGCTCTACCAACAGAGCTACAGGCGCTATATAGAGCGACCGCCGGGACTATAATAATATAGCATTAATTTATGAGAATAATATAGCGCGACTGAATATTTTCAAACTTTAAAAAACAATATTTTTTAATCTATTCACAGCTGGAAGACAGTTGCATAGACCGCCATCGCGACGAACGCAAAACTATCGTCTCTGACACTGTGTCTGTTACCACCGACGATGCTTCCGCTCAGGATATAGAGGAGGAAATTCCGGTTTCTGATGATGGTAAGCACATACATCTAGAAAACATCACTTACAATAGTTCTAGTTTTTTGTTTCAAAAGGCAGGTGCAGAGTGCTCCCGTTTTTAATTGAAAATGATGTTTCCATTATATAAACATAAAAGCAGTGGCTAATTTGGCGACAAGGTGTATAGTATTGTAATCAAGTTGATACTCCTCGGAATTCTCTGGAATAGGTTTTTGTCAAACTTACTTAGAAGGATACTCTTAATTGCGGCTTCGTTTGGTTAGAACTCATTCAATTTGCTATTGAAAAGGGCACAGGCCAGTATCTGCGCTGACTCTCTCCTACTATCAAACGGTCATTTTTAGGCAGTAGATGCAATCTTTTTGAGTTTAGCAATGTTCTACTCCTTTTTACAGACGAAGCCTCAGACAAAGAAGACTCAACATCCAATAAACTGAACACAATCACAGAAGAAACAACCAGAATAGAGATAAAAGACAAATCTCCACAAAAACATAAAGAGACAGAAGAATCACAAGAAGAGAAAAAAGATACACAGAAAGACGAGAAAGAAGAAGAGAAAGAGAAAAATGATGAGGATTCAGACAGTGATAGTGCGTTCCCGGATACACATATAAAGGTAAATATTTTTTTGATTTTGTAGAATTAGTTCGAGAGCCCAGGGGGTAAGTGGCTATCTCATAAGGTACCACGATAGGCTAGGTTTGGATCGTTAACCAAGACTTAAACAAGTCGTATGACCCAGGTCTGCCAGAGCCAATCCTGCCGAAACATAAATATAATCGATATTTTTCAGAGTCATTTTTTCGTAAAAAATATGTCATAAGGTACCACAATGAAAGTGCTGGCATCAGTTAACCATTAAAAAATTATGTAAAAAAAGCTTGGTCTGCCACTGCGCAGCCTGCCGGAAGTGCTTGCCAGACCTCTCCAAAGATGCCCTTCCGACACCCCTAAACTATCTCATCGGGTACCACGACGCGACCACCACAACATAATAGCCAAGATCACTCTGACAATAGATCACAAGGTCTGCCAGGCCTAAACTTGCCGCATCCTAGTGTTTCAGACATTTGAAGTTGTAGGTCCAGTGTATGAAAAATGACCTATATCTTTTTCCCCCCGTGTTTGATTTTGATGGTGCCTTAATACGAAATGCTCTCCATAATGAGGAGCTTCGAGTCATATAGGACAGTTGGGTGGAGGTTTTCAGTATTGAACGCAATCCTGTCAAAAAGTTTGAAATGGAGGTTTGGTCTATGAAAACTGGCCTATATCTTATTCCCCCCGGGTTTGATTTTGATGGCGCCTTAATATGAAATGCTCTCCATAACTAGGAGCTTTGAGTCATATAGGTCAGTGAGGAGGAGGGTCTCTGTATTGTACACAATCCTGTCAAAAAGTGTGAAATTGTAGGTAAAGTGTATGAAAACTGGCCTATATCTTTTCCCCCACTGGTTTGATTTTGATGGTGCCTTGGTATGAAATGCTCGTAATGATTAGGAGATTCGATTTGTATAGGTCAATTGGATAGAAGGTCTCTGTTCTGTGCACAATCCTCCTAAATATGACAATATTCGATAACTTCTGCAGATATTATCAGTTAAAATTGTCATATCATAAGGAACTCGAATAAAAGTGCTTGCATCACCTTATCTTTGACAAATTATGTTTAAAAAACTTGGTCTGCCACTGCCCACTCTGCTGGAAGTCCTTAGATGAGATAGGTTAGGGGTGTTGGAAGGGTATATTTGGAGGGGTCTCCCAAGGACTTCTGGCAGAGTGCGCAATGGCAGACCAAGTTTTCTTAACTCAATTTATCAATGGTAAGCTGATGCCGGCACTTTTATTCGGGTACCTTATGATATGACAATATTAACGGTAAAAATCTGCAGAACATATCCAATATTTTCATGTTTAGCAGGATTGAGATTTTTTCCGTTAACATTGTAATTTCATAAGGTACCCGAATGACAGTGCCAGCATCAGCTTACCATTGATAAATTGAGTTAAGAAAACTTGGTCTGCCATTGCGCACTCTGCCAGAAGTCCTTGGGAGACCCCCTCCAAATATACCCTTCCAACACCCCTAACCTATCTCATCTAAGGACTTCCAGCAGAGTGGGCAGTGGCAGACCAAGTTTTTTAAACATAATTTGTCAAAGATAAGGTGATGCAAGCACTTTTATTCGAGTTCCTTATGATATGACAATTTTAACTGATAATATCTGCAGAAGTTATCGAATATTTTCATATTTAGGAGGATTGTGCACAGAACAGAGACCTTCTATCCAATTGACCTATACAAATCGAATCTCCTAATCATTACGAGCATTTCATACCAAGGCACCATCAAAATTAAACCAGTGGTTAGGTAGGGGTGAGATAGGTTAGGGGTCGGAAGTGCATATTCGGAGGGGTCTGACAAGGACTTCCGGCAGAGTGCGCAATGGCAGACCAAGTTTTCTTAACTCAATTTATCAATGGTAAGCTGATGCCGGCACTTTTATTCGGGTACCTTATGATATGACAATATTAACGGTAAAAATCTGCAGAACATATCCAATATTTTCATGTTTAGCAGGATTGTGATTTTTTCCGTTAACATTGTAATTTCATAAGGTACCCGAATGACAGTGCCAGCATCAGCTACCATTGATAAATTGAGTTAAGAAAACTTGGTCTGCCATTGCGCACTCTGCCAGAAGTCCTGGAGACCTCCAAATATACCCTTCCAACACCCTAACCTATCTCATCTAAGGACTTCCAGCAGAGTGGGCAGTGGCAGACCAAGTTTTTTAAACATAATTTGTCAAAGATAAGGTGATGCAAGCACTTTTATTCGAGTTCCTTATGATATGACAATTTTAACTGATAATATCTGCAGAAGTTATCGAATATTGTCATATTTAGGAGGATTGTGCACAGAACAGAGACCTTCTATCCAATTGACCTATACAAATCGAATCTCTAATCATTACGAGCATTTCATACCAAGGCACCATTAAAATCAAACCAGTGGGGAAAAGATATAGGCCAGTTTTCATACACTTTACCTACAATTTCACACTTTTGACAGGATTGTGTACAATACAGAGACCCTCCTCCTCACTGACCTATATGACTCAAAGCTCCTAGTTATGGAGAGCATTTCATATTAAGGCGCCATCAAAATCAAACCCGGGGGGAATAAGATATAGGCCAGTTTTCATAGACCAAACCTCCATTTCAAACTTTTGACAGGATTGCGTTCAATACTGAAACCCTCCACCCAACTGTCCTATATGACTGAAGCTCCTCATTATGGAGAGCATTTCGTATTAAGGCACCATCAAAATCAAACACGGGGAAAAAGATATAGGTCATTTTTCATACACTGGACCTACAACTTCAAATGTCTGAAACACTAGGATGCGGCAAGTTTAGGCCTGGCAGACCTTGTGATCTATTGTCAGAGTGATCTTGGCTATTATGTTGTGGTGGTCGCGTCGTGGTACCCGATGAGATAGTTTAGGGGTGTCGGAAGGGCATCTTTGGAGAGGTCTGGCAAGCACTTCCGGCAGGGTTCGCAGTGGCAGACCAAGCTTTTTTTACATAATTTTTTAATGGTTAACTGATGCCAGCACTTTCATTGTGGTACCTTATGACATATTTTTTACGAAAAAATGACTCTGAAAAATATCGATTATATTTATGTTTCGGCAGGATTGGCTCTGGCAGACCTGGGTCATACGACTTGTTTAAGTCTTGGTTAACGATCCAAACCTAGCCTATCGTGGTACCTTATGAGATAGCCACTTACCCCCTGGGCTCTCGAACTAAATGGATAGTTAAAAGAATACTTGATATTGCGTTGCACTAATAAATATGGAAAAGGACTTGAATGATATGCCAATTCTCAGGATTAAAGTTAATTAAATATTTTTCATATTTCGACCTATGTTCCTTGGAGAAAGTTGTTCTTTATCTATCACCAGCCAGTTTTGAGTTATAGCTATCGGTCACTAGTAAAATTTCACTCAGTATTTATTATGAAAATATTAATCACTATAACTCTTCTAGGTCGACCACGGTACAGGGAAGGTAATAATGGAATCAAAAGACAGAAAAATGTCCCACGAATATGAAAACAGTAAGTTATTAATTAATTCATTGCACATCTCAGTTTAGCTCAGTGGCCCGGGTTTGAGCCCCGGTCGATGCATGACATTTTTAACATTTTGTTAATTTCTTATTTTCACTAATTGCATATCTTTTGTTTGTTAAGAGTGTAAGGGACGGTTAACTGAAATCTTCACAGGCGTGATATTAGACCATGAAACTGAACAACTTTTTCTAAGGAGGTTACGTTGGCAAACAAAAAAACAGTTCGATAGTCAGTCAACTCACCGAAAATTTTATAACAGGGTTGGTTGTTTTTTTTTCTCTACTGACATAGAAATAGATAAATTTGTTCAGTTTTATGGTCTGTTTGTTACAGCGCTGCGTAGCTCCACTTGATTTTTGACGTGAAATGTCGAGCTCGCTTCGCTCGCATCTTTAATTTTGGGCAACTAACATAGCTGGCACCTATCGAGTAAAAATAAATAAAAACTCAATCTGGCGACCAGAGCTGAAACATGTTGCAATCGATTTTTTTTTACTCGGTAGGTATGCCAGGCTCCATACTAAAATGTTGGATACCCTTTACATTTATTTTATTTACTGTATATTACCACTCATAAACTAACTGGCAGGCCCGTGGCATCAATTAAAATCGGCAGATGGTCCCCCAG